AAAAAAAAAAAAACATGACGTAGCGTTTGTGTGTGCTGACATCATTGTTCACTCTTGTGAAGAGCCGGGCGGGCGGGCGGGGACCAGCTGAGTCTCTCCCACGCGAGAATTCACAGCCGGGCCAGGGGTGCGCCCCGCGGGGTCGGGACGGCCGCCCGGTGGGAGGAGGGCGAGCTTTGGAGGGCGGGGTCTGCCTTGGAGGGAGGCGGAGAATGTGGAGTCCAAGTTGTTTTTCAAAGAAGTTTTTTCTGTCAGAACTGGTTGTTCTTTCAAAGCTGCTTATCAGGGCCCTGCAAACCCGGCGAGCCGGCCCCGGGATGCAGGTGGCAGCAGTTGCAAGTCCCCCCACGGCCCCCCTCTAGCCCATCCCTGCCCCGACTCCACCTTACAATAAGTTAATTAATTTATTTGTTTGTTTATTTATTTGTTGTGGTATAGAAGAATTGGGGTGCAGGCCAGAGCTGCAGGGGTGAGAGGGTTCGCCAGAGACAGCGGGGAGCAGAACAGGAAGAGTCTCTGCAGAGCCCACTGCCCGGGAGCAGTCAGCAAGGCAGGAGGGGGCTGATGCGCCCGAGGGTCACCGCCCTGGCAGGGGGTGAACTGTGCGCAGTGCCTGCCCTGGCTTGCGGGTGCTGAGGCGGAGCCCTTGCGCCTCCAGGGAGGCCCGAGCCTTCACATTCTTCATGCCGGCACCTCAACTTCTATCCCTACAGTCTGACTCCAGCCTTAGGTTCTGGAAGAGCTCTCACAGAAGAACGGCAGTCAGGCTGCTGTCTGGGTTCAAACCCTCACTTTAATGCCCTAACACACCCCGACTGTAGTGCACGCCGTGTGTCGGGGTGACAGGCCGAAGTCAGGGAGCAGATGCCTCCAGCCCTTCTCCAGAGTTAGGCTCTTCCTGTCCTTTGTGCTCAGATCCACATTCCAGGATGTTTCTGTTACAGGGCAGGGAGAGGGGCAGCCCAAACCCCACAAACCTGCCTATTCTAAATGGGTTCTGCCATCCGCCGCATCAACACAAAACATGAGACTTTAATGGGAAGGAACTTTAATACAATTAGGAAACAATACAGGAAAGGCAAAGAGTCTAGTTTCTAAATAAAGCACCCAAAGTGACCCGTCCCCTGTCCCCTCGTGGGTAAAACTCCATCCATATGGGATCGGCCCAGAGCAAGGCCCCAAAGCCTGCCCCAAGTCTAAAGCACCTTCCAGCGGGGACCCACAGAAAAGGGTCAGAAACAACCAGACAAGCCCGGAAGGAAAAGAGCAAAATCAAGATAAAACCCGCAATTGTCACCTCCCCACGGGTCTCACCCACATCTGTGTCACCCCGTCCACGACCAAAAGACAAGCGCGGTTTCTTCACGTGTCTCTAGGCTCCATGCGCCTCCTCCAGGGCTCCTTCTGGCTCCATCCTGCTTCCTTCCTTCCTCAGTCTCCTCTGCAGCTTCTTCTCTCCCTGCTCAGCTCCACCCTCCCTTGGGGGGGGGCAGGGAACCTGGAACCTCCCACTTTCCTGGGGACCACCCTATTACAGTTCCTTCTGTTTCTGTGAAAAATTCCACACAAGGGCCTGCCTGGTGGCGCAAAGGGTTAAATCTCAGCACCATCAAGCTACTGGCAGCCACTGTAGCATGAGTGGCCCAGCCAGGGCTACCCACATGGCCCAGCAGACCTCTCCTGTCTTGCCTGCTGATCTCCTCAGTAGTGTATTTAAGTTGATCTGCCTGTTTGCTCCTCACTGTCTCCAGTGAATCCTCTCATCCCCCGCCCCACATGAGTGGCCTGCACCCCAGCTCTTGTATGCATAAATAAAGAAATCGTGAAATGAAAAACTGACCCAAGTAACCACAGGTCATCAAAGCCAGTCAATGTGCATTGACTGGCTCAGTTGCTCAGGGTTGTTCAAATACCACCCCCACAAACACCCACCCACAGGGCCAGGTGTCCCCGCGGGAGCGGGAATATTAGGCCCTGGCGCAGGACGTGGGTTCCACAGTGCAGTGAGTGACTGCACCCACGGCAGCCGTAGTGTGAAAGCAGGTCACTGTACAGGCACCTTCTGGCTGCGGGACCAGCGCGGCCCTGAATGTTCCTGAACAGGCTTCAGCTTGACACCTCCCAATCATTTGGGGGTACACCAGGAGTGGAAATGCGGAACCACATGGTTATTCTGGCTTCAGTTTTTGGGGAAATGTCGAGGTATTTCTCATGCAGTTTGCTCAACTGTCCATTTCCAACATCCTGGCTCCGCTGTTGGGCTGGTGTGGCCTGGAAGACACGCGAGAGGCCGTCATCTGGAGCCTTGGCTGCTGATCGTGTTCAGTTTACATCACTTACTCTTGAGTGATTTTCTGGGGATTGGCTCATCTGGCACCCCGCACAGGCCACCCGGGGTCCTCAGGAGGTGATGGTGCTGCCAGAGGCTCACCCAGCACTGTGGGTGCTGATTTCCCTCTGACCAAAACCAGTCACGCGACCAGGCCCAGGTCGGTGTTGGCTAAGACACCCCGAGGGGAGGGACACCGGGAAGCCAGTTTTTGGTACCATGAAGGGGAACCCCCCAAGTGTGCATGACGTGCAGCTGCTCTGTAGGATCACGGGGGGAAACGCGGTGCTCCGGGTCCCTGGAAAGTGAGTCAGTGCTGAGCACCGTGCGGGTAAAGCAGCAGGGCAGATGTGTGTCTCTGTACTTCAGGGTAAATTTAAATCTAAATTCTACCAGTGACTGGACTTGCCGGTCCCTTCCTGCCCCTTCCCCAAGTGTGAAACGCTGTGGACAGACTCTCGCTTTTGCCTTCTCAGCGGACGCGCTGCGAGCTCAGGCAGCACAGGCGGGACCCGCCGCCCCATCTCTTCCCGACCCGCCTGGCCACTGCCCGGCTCGGCCTCCGCAGCCTCCGTGCGTCTCTGCGGGCACCTGCCATGGCCACGCCTCGGGTGAGCTGTTTCCTCCTTATGTGTCTAGTTGCTCTGCTTGCGCTTGACGAGCTTCACGAGGGCCCCAGAGTAAATGGGGAAGCAGCCACGTGACCTGCTTTGGGCCCAGACCCGCACACAAGGGGAAGGCGGCGTCAGCAGGAGGGCGGGGGCTGGAGAGAGCACAAGTCTCTGCTCACCTGGTGCCCTGGGAAGAGATGGACACGCCTGTGACCTGGTGAACAACCCTTTGCAGGAAGTCCTGCTGCCTTCCCCTGGGACACGGGCTGTGGCAGGCCCCAGAGTCTGTGGAGTGTAGGGTCTCACAGAGGACGGCGTGGACATTGTCTCTTGACGCCTCTGGAAATGAGCACCCAGCATCCCGCGGTGGTGTCGGGTCTCTGGTGCTAAAGCCCAGCTTGACAAGGTTATTGTGCAGTTGCTAAATCCTGTGGTCTCAGGTAGCTCTGGGAAGGCCCTCACAGACGCAGGACTCACACCTGTAGTGTCTGGGGAATGGACTCGCATGCAGGCCCTGCAGCTGCTGCCCTGGCGCTTCTCTCAGCTGATCCCCACACCTGTGTTGTGCAGCAGGTTGTGGAAAGTTCTATTTTCTGGCGCATGTTTCCTGTGCTCCTTTGCACTTTTGGAACCATGCAATGTAGTCCTCATCACTTTATTGTAAGGCTCACCAGTAACCCAAGTTATAGTCAAGTCTCACACCAATGGCTTCTCAAATCATTTGCTGCACTTCTGTGGAGGCCCTCATTTGCCCTTTCTGTCTATTTTAAAGATGTATTTTATTCATGCATACAAGAACTGGGGTGTAGGCCAGAGGTCGGGGTGGGGTGAGAGGATTCACCAGAGACAGGGTGGGGAGCAGAACAGGTGTTTCCACTAAAATACACTGCTGAGGCGAGCAGCAGGGAGACAGGAGAGATCTGCTGCGCCATGTGGATAGCTCCTTGCCTGGGGATTGAACTCATGCCTTGTGGCTGCTGATAGCTTGACAGCGCTGACTTTATCCCCTGGGCCACCAGGAGGCCCCCTCATTTGCCCTTTCTTAATGGACTTAATTTTATAGCATATTCAGCTTCACATCAAATTCAACAGGATGTGCAGTGACTTCAAATATACTCTCTGTTCACCCCCAAACACCGCTGCCTCCACCTTGACACGGCCCCCTTAGCTTAGTGCATGCTTTACAACCAAACAGCAACATTGACTCATCGTTATCACCAGAGCACATAGTTTTCATTGTGATTATTCTTGCTGTTCTAGGTTCTATGGGTCTGGACAAACACACAATATTAGCCATTTTGGGGACTTCTCTGAAGTACAATATTGTTAGTACAAAAAGTTACTTTTTCTCCATTTTACTCCAGTCATCTTCAACATGTTCTTGACACACCTTCTGTAGACTTCATTCCTGTTTTGTGTTTATACTTCATTCTTCAAACCATGTGACAGATCTTTAGGGGAGCAGGTTTTTTTTAATGTGTTTATTCTTGAAACAATGAGATTTCCAATTTTGAGAAGGAAGCTCTCCTTGTATATTGGGAACAGTGGGTTCAAACTGAGGGAGGGAGCATCACCAGGGACACTGGGGTTAAGTCTCAGCACTGTCAAGCTGACCACTGCAGCCTGAATTGAATGGCCAGGGGCTTAACACCCAAGGGCACAGCAGACCACTCCTATCAGCCTACTTCTCTCCTTAGCAGTGAATTTTAGGGGATCCTCCCGTTCTGCTCCCCAACTCTCTGGTGATCCTCTCGCCCTCTGATCTCTGGCCTACACCCTGGTTCTTTATGCATAAATAAATCTTTATTAACAAAACCTGGTAGGATGTTCCTACTGCTATATCTCTTATCACACAACGTAGAGTCCAAAGTGAGGGGCATCCTGTATGAGATAAAACACACTCAAAAGAAATGAACGACCAGACCTCCCACTCTCGTGACCCCGCCCTGTGCCATTACAGGCAAAGGTGTCATTTGAGGACGTGGCTGTGAACTTCACCCGGGAGGAGTGGCAGGACCTGGATGATGCTCAGAGGACGCTGTACAGGGATGTGATGCTGGAGACCTACAGGACCCTGGTGTCCGTGGGTGAGTGACGCTTCCCTCCACTGCCAAGCGCAAGGACAGTTGTTGTTTTTTGTTTTTTGTTTTTTTTTTACTTTTTTCCTTTTATTTTGGCACAGCAGGCCTAGAGTGTAGGCCAGCGGTGGGGGGGGGTGGTGGTGAGTGGGCTCACCAGAGACTGGGTGGGGAGGAGAACAGGCAGATCCATGAAAATGCACTGCAACAGGTAGCATCTGGCAAGACAGGCCAGGGCTGCTGTACCCTCTGTGGGTCAGCTCCTTGGCTGGTGTCAAACTCAGGGCACGGAGGTGTTAGCCCTGAGATCTAACCTCTATGCTACCAGGAAAGCTCAAAAGGACAGCTTTGTTTCTGGTAAATGTACAAAGTTAAGGAAATTGGATGTTATATTATTTAAATTAAAATTTATTTCAACAATAAAAATTTAAAAACTAAATGCTTAAGATTCCAGGCCAACAAGAATGTGAGGAAATAGTTCTCTACTTAGAGGCTCAAATTTGCCCTCCATTAAACAACTTTTTTTATTTATTTTTTTAAGATTCATATATTTATGGGCCTCCCTGCTGGTTCATGGGGTTAAGATGCAGCACTATGAAGTTATCACAGCTACTGCGGATAAATATTTATTTATGCATACAAGAACATACAAGGGTGTAGGCCAGAGTTGTGGGGGGTGGGGTGAGAGGATTCATCCAGACGCAGAGTGGGAACAGAACAGGTGGGCTGACTGAAATACACCACTGTGTGTATCCCACTGAGGGGAGCAGTGCACGAAACAGGAGAGATCTGCTGTGCCATGTGGGTGCACTCTTGCCGGGAATCCAACTCATGCTGCTGTGGCAGTGGACAGCTTCATAGTGCTGAGACTTAACCCCTTGCGCCACCAGGGAGGACAGTTTTTCAGTTTATTTAAGAGATTGATGGAAGCATCTGCAGGTGTGAGTTCAGCCTCACCTCCTGTCTCAGCTCTGATGGACGTATCTGTCGAACAATCCAGAAGGACTGTGAGTTGCTTGTGGATCCTCCTTTGGAAATGATCCCAAGTCTTAGAATCTTCACCAATGGATTTGAGGTGGTCCTTTCTCACTGAGGTTGTTTTCCTTTGCACCTTTGACTGTGGTACATACCATCCCCACAATTTCATCTTGGACTGCCCAGCATCCACAGCCACTACAGCCCGAGTTTGATCCCCGGTCAGGGAGCTGACCCACATGGCAAAGACATCTCCTGTCTCGCCTGCTGCTCCCCTCAGCAGTGTATTTCAGTCATTCTACCTATTCTGCTCCCCACTCTGTCTCTGGTGAATATTCTTGCCCCCAGCCCCCTGACCCTCTGGCCTACACATAGGCTCTTGTATGCATAAATAAATTAATCCTTTAAAAAAGAGTTTCTGTGAAAAATCTGTGCTCACTAAAGATTATAAAATACAACAGGTGAGCAACCTGATGAATGTTGGAAGACCTGTGAGAATTCAATCCTCAGTAAACATCAGTCACCTCTTAGAGGGGAGAAGCATTATGAGTGTAAACAGTGTATGAAAACTTTCCATTGGAAGTCAAACCTCCAGAGACATGAGAGAATCTACAGAGGTGTGAAACCCTATGAATGTAAAGAATGTAGGAAAACTTTCTGCGGCCAGTTAAACCTCAAGAGACACCAGGTAATGCACACTGGAGACAAACCCTATGAATGCAAAGAATGTGGGAAAACTTTCTTGGGTCAGCCGTACCTCAAGATACATCAGAGAATTCACACAGGAGAGAAACTCCATGAATGTAAGGTATGTAGGAAAACTTTCTTGTTCCAGTCAGTCCTCACGAAACACCAGAGGATTCACACTGGAGAGAAACCATATGAGTGTAAAGAATGTGGGAAATCATTCTTGAGGCAGTCATACTTCAAAATACATCAGAGAATTCACACTGGAGAGAAACCCTATAAATGTAAGGAATGTGGGAAAACCTTCTTGTGGGAGAGATCCCTCAGGATACATCAGAGAACTCACACAGGAGAGAAACCCTATGAATGTAAAGAATGTGGGAAAACTTTTTCCTGGCTGGCAAAGCTCAGTAGACACCAGAGTACTCACCATGGAGTGAAACAATATGCATGTAAAGAATGTGATAAAACCTTCTTGTGTCAATCATACCTCAAGATACACCAGAGATCTCACACAGGAGAGAAACCCTATGAATGTAAAGAATGTAGGGAAACTTTTTCCTGGAGGATAGCACTCAAGAGACACCAGAGTACTCAACATGAAGTGAAACAATACGCATGTAAAGAATGTGGGAAAACATTCTTCTGGCAGCCAGACCTCAAGAAACACCAGAGAATTCACACAGGAGAGAAACCCTATGAATGTAAAGAATGTAGGAAAACATTCTCCAGTAAGTCACGTCTCACTCACCATCAGAGAACTCACACAGGACTGTAACCTTCATTAGCAAGACTGACCATTAGTTCAAAATTTCAATATTCCTGTTTTATGCAAACTACATTTCCCCCCTTCCCTTGACCTTCAGTCAGTCCTGTACCTGACCTCTCCAGGAGATTGTAAACACAAGTGGTGAACATTAATCCAGCAGGTCACTAAAAACTGCCCTCTATGACTTTTCCACTCTGTGGCCCTGGAGTACTTGCGACCTTCCAGCTTTCCATGAGAGTCACAGGGGGAAGCCGGTACCATGAGTCCACATGGAAGGCTTAGGGTTAGAAATGAAGATTTTTGCCTGTGTTTTTGCTAGCCCACACTGCTGTCTGAATGTTCTGGAAGGCTAATTTTAACTTTTGGTGAAGGACTAAAGGGCCTCATTCGTAATGAGTATTCACGTACACAGAAGTGACATGCTTCTCTTTGGCATGTGTGAAGTAAAGATGAAGAAGCTTTTAAATTTGGTTCTAGGTGTGGGTCAGCCTAGGGGAATTGAATGAAGAAAGATTAAGACTTGAGGCAATGTGCAGACTCCTTTAGATATCCATTCTGGATTGGAAACTGAAAATAGTTTTTGAGGAGGTTAGACACTCTGTACAGGAAGCGTGGAGGACATGAAAGTGCTGGTGTAGCATTATGTACTCAGAGAAGTGAAATGTGTGCCTTGGGTAATAGCAGGAATGATGGAGGGGTAGGTGTAGGGCACTAGTGGACTCGCCATTCCCACACACATGCTTCTGCCAAAACTGCCATCAGTCTGGGCCTCCCCAATGGCATAGGGGTTAAATCTCAGCTCTATGATGATGTCAGCACTGGGGACTCAGTTCGTTCCATGGCCATTGAGCTGACCCACATATGGCCCAACAGACCTCTCCTGTCTCCCCCGCTGCTCCCCTGAGTAGTGGATTTCAGTATTTCCCTCTGTCCTGCTCCCACTCTGATGAATCCTCTTACCCCAGTGTTCTGGCCTATACCCCAGTTCTTGTATGCATAATTAGATAAAAATAAATCTTTAAAAAAAACCTACCTGTCATCAGTGGATTTATAGAGAACTGTCCACAATGCCATAGTGTCTTCATTGCTTCTGATCAAGGAAATCCCTCAGCAGTGGAGGAAGTCCTGTAGGGCACCTGCGCTTGTGGAATTCACCTTCTTGCCACATTCCCTACCAGCCAGTAGCTGCAGACGTGACAGGATGGCAGGATGGTCTTTTGAAGACTCAGTTACAGTGCTTATCCCTGGCAAGACCTTGAGATGCCGGTGTTCTCGAGAGACAGTGTGTGCTAACTATGCCCAGTGTCCAGGACTGTCTTCCATAGCCAGATTCAAGGGCCCAGAATGAAAGCAAGGAAATGGAAGTGGCTGTGCTCATTCTCAACTTCTTTAGTTACTGTCCCTCCAACTTTCTGCTCCACTGGCCTAGAATTCCAGAGGGAGGGATGCATCCTCCCAGACACAAGGGTGATTCCATCGACCTGACAGTTCAGGCTGCTGCCCAGTCCCTCCCGGTTCCTCCTGCCTCAGTCAGCAGACCAAGATGGAGTTGAGCAATCTGGTGTGGCTGACCTGACCACCACTGGCAAATTGGACAACTGCCCCCCCCCCCGTGGGGTAAGGACAGTGTGTCTGTGATACAGGAGACTCAGGGTTTCTTTTAGAATGACCATGCCCTGTGGTAAGGTATGCTGCCCAGGGCCTCTCCCTCACATCTGTTTCAGCTAGTTCAGTTCAAGAAACAAGTGCATTTTGCCACATGTATCTCTGCTGCAGGTGCCACCTCCAGGTCTCCTGGCCTCCATCCTGCTTTCCTGTCGTCTCCCTGCTCAGCCCCAACCTCCCTTGGGTGAGGCAGGGAACCGAGAAACTTCCCTTTTCTGGGGGACCCCCCCTTTCAGCAGGACATGGGGTCTCAGTGCCAGTGTTGGGGGGAAAGAATGTCTGAATTGTCCCCACAAACATGGGTTTTATGGACCCCATCCCCGCCCCAGACCAAAAAAGATGCAAGACATCAAGGTCTGCAGATCCCACGATGTCATCACCAGCCAAGGGAGGGTTGCTGGGTCCCCAGGGTGCAGTTAAGCAGTCAGGCTGGGTGTATAACCAGACACCTGGGCCTTAGGGGTCCTTGGTTTTCCGCCGGCCTTCAGCGTGCTAGTGGGGTGCAGCTCAGTGGAACTGTTCAGACGCATTTATCAATCTCTCTTTTTCCCCCGAGTCATTCCTTTCTTCATTTTCCCTTTCTTGTAAATAAACCCTTTTTTAACCTTTTTGTGTATCTGCAGTTGAGTCTCATTCTAAGTCCCGTTTAAGTGCATAGGTCAAGGTAGGCCAGCCCATTTCACATTGGGGTTGCCCTGAAACACCAGCACCCTCTTCAACTACAAATACATAAACCACAAATAAATTGATTGATACCTAATTGGTACACATATTTAATACATAACATGATTGCACATATGCTCATAGTTAAACATATATTTATACATAAATGTGTGTATACTTAGGTGCCCACAGAGTGCTCGGCAGCAAATCTGCCCCAAGGTACAGAGCAGGAAGGAATTCATCTGGAACA